CCAACTTTATGGAGATGCAGATTTCATTTTCCAACAGGACTTGGCACCTGCACACAGTGCCAAAGCAACCAGTACCTGGTTTAAGGACCATGGTATCCCTGTTCTTAATTGGCCAGCAAACTCGCCTGACCTTAACCCCATAGAAAATCTATGGGGTATTGTGAAGAGGATGATGCGAAATGCCAGACCCAACAATGCAGAAGAGCTGAAGGCCACTATCAGAGCAACCTGGGCTCTCTTAACACCTGAGCAGTGCCACAGACTGATCGACTCCATGCCACGCCGCATTGCTGCAGTAATTCAGGCAAAAGGAGCCCCAACCAAGTATTGAGTGCTGTACATGCTCATACTTTTCATGTTCATACTTTTCAGTTGGCCAAAATTTCTAAAAATCCTTTCTTTGTATTGGTCTTAAGTAATATTCTAATTTTCTGAGATACTGAATTTGGGATTTTCCTTAGTTGTCAGTTATAATCATCAAAATTAAAAGAAATAAACATTTGAAATATATCAGTCTGTGTGTAATGAATGAATATAATAGACAAGTTTCACTTTTTGAATGGAATTAGTGAAATAAATCAACTTTTTGATGATATTCTAATTATATGACCAGCACTTGTACAGTGTTTAATTGTGTCCATTTTTTTTTGTTTGTTTCAGACCTGAAGGCCTTTGAGAGAAGATTGACAGAGTATGTCTCCTGTTTGCAACCTGCAACAGGCAGGTGGAGAAGTAAGTCACTGTTACTGGTGGTTAAATATCGAAGTTGCTGCAGGCCTGATCACAGACTTGTGTCACCAACAGTGTTGTAATGATTTTGGTAAATCATGATTCATGTTATTAACCTGGGTGTCATTCCCCCTTTCTTGTTTCAGTGATTCTAATAGTGGTGTCTGTTTGTACGGCTACTGGGGCTTGGAACTGGTTAATAGACCCGGACACACAGAAGGTAAGTATTAGTGGACAAACATGTCGATGTGTGTCAATTTTTGACTTTAAGGGAAACTATCACAAAGCGACTACTACAATGACAATATAGCCAACAGCTATAATATGATGATTGTCATTTTTTTGTATGGAATATTACAACTTGAATACAAGGGTTTACAGCTGTGAATTATATCCCAGCGAAACCAATCCAGGTTTCAGCTGAAATTAATTGCGAAATTAAATGTCCAATGAAAGCATCCAATAAATTGTTTTTCTTGCACGTCCATATCAGAATTAACTGTCCCTCACTGTATCGGTCTGTACTTTGTATTCCCGCTCATTGAACAGCAACACCTGATGCTAATGGACTGATGTGTAGCCTTCGTCTTTGAGCTTTGTGTGCTCATACGGCCACCATAAATGAAACGGAATGCAGAGGCAATATTTGATGCTAGTCCTTTACCCCGTTAGAATGACAGGATTCATGTTGAAAAAACATGTGAAGTGACCCTTTAAAGACAGACATCTGCTGTGTCATAGGTTAAAACCATTCTGGGGTTCATTCACTTCTTTTTGGCTCAGGCTCTGAACAGGTAATTTAATCCAGCACCACTTCCTGCACTGTTTGGGACTGTGGAAATAGGTAGAGTGAAGACTGTTTAAGGCTCAGACTATTTCACTTTCAACATTGTTTGCCAGAAAGTCACTGCTGCAATCCTGGAAATCTTAAAAGGTTCCTACATTGGAAATGTGGCTAAGGGAGCAAGGGAATGTGTTCCTCCTGCAGAAACTAAGGTACACTTTGTCAACTAGTTAGGAAATCTTTTTCCAAATGTAGCAACCTTTCAATGACTTCAAGGTAACTTAATCGGTTAACTTTGATTTCCTAAACTGACTATCAATAAGTCAGTAATATAATAATCTGTAAAAGTGAAAGTTGTGTTATTGTCTTTGATAATTAACGTTGGTTTGTTCCTCTTGTTCTGCAGGTCTCTTTCTTTTCATCTCTGTGGAATCATCCCTTCTTCACCATCAGCTGTATCACTCTTATAGCGCTCTTCTTTGCTGGGATACACAAACGAGTTGTGGCACCATCAATGTATCCTTTCGTCTGTTGCAGTTCATATGAAGTAGCATGTTAAAAAACAAAAAAAAAAAAAATCGATTTTATAATTCCAGCATCTGCTTCGTCAACACACATCCAATCTCAGCCATTGACGGAAAATCGTAGAGCATGCAGGAAATGTTTTGCTGATTGCACTTCTATAAAAAAAATTCATCATTGTTCACGTTTTTTTTGGCTGACAAGTTGAGCTCTTTGACATTTGCGCCTTCAGTATTGCTGCCCGCTGTCGAACAGTTTTAGCAGAATACAACATGTCCTGTGACGACGTGAGTTAACAAATCTCTTTCATGTTGTGATTTGTAATCTGCATCCGACAACTTGTATTTTTGTAAAGATTATTTTTGTTATTTCTGTCTTCTTACAGACGGGGAAACTTATTCTCAAGCCTCGACCGAACATCCAGTGACCCCACGCTTGAGTGGGGCGGTCGGATGTACCTGTGTCTTTGCTGATAGCCACTGATCACTCTCGAGTCCTTTGGCTGGTCCGATCAGCACCGAGGCAGACGTTGTCGTCATAGTGGAAATGCATTTGGGAGAAAGAAGAAATGAACTAAGTCTTTTAATTGTGTCACTGTGCTGATGTCATGATTGAAGACGAGAGCTCAGATTTGTTTATTTCTGTTTCTGATTTTGAGCATGTATTTTAATGAAATGTTTCTATTTTTTAAAATAATTTACCTAATAAATACATGAGTTGTAAAAACGGTGTCATTGTTTTGTCTCATTACACTGAAAGTATCTGTCTATGGTTTATTTGCTGTATGTTATAAACGATCAATATCGTTTTACGTTCGCGTTGTTGCGTCCCCATGATTTTGCGACAGCTTCCCTCATTTCTGTTATCAACGACCGCTTTACGGCAGGGAACACTTCCACATGGCCTCCAACCAGGCTGGAGCTTAAATGTGTGTGTGGTGCGTTTTCGGTGGCCAAGTCTTGAGTGTACAAGTTGGAGAAAATAAATCACGTTGCATGCGCAGTTTGCACTTTAAATAAGGGCTGAAAATGGGTAAAAGTAAAACCACTAAGTTTAAACGTCCGCAGTTCAACGCGGTTGGATTGCCGCCGGCGAATGCTGTGAAGGAAGTGGACGCCGAGGAAGAAGACCACGGGGATGATGGCTGTCCAGCTGCGGAGTTGCTGGAGAAAGTAGGATCACTATTATTCTGTTAACATCTGCGGTTGAGTTATGTTGTATCATTGCATGGTCGATAGGCATGTACACGTTTCAATGAAAAACAACTTTTTCAGTCTAAATTAACTTATGTTGTGATTTTTTTACACTTTTCATTCACGTGAGCTGGAGATAGTTAACACGTCATAATTCTGACAGTCAGTTCATGTAGTTAGTCATGTTTTGTATGTGTGTCCATAGTTGCAGAGTCCCAGTGCCGATGTGCGAGAGTTTGCATGTGCCAGCATTTCTCGGGTGGTGCAGCAGAGTCAGACCATCCCGGTGTTCCTCCAGAGGGACGCTGTCCGGCGCCTCGGGCCCATGCTGCTGGACAACAGCCTGGCTGTCAGGGAGACCTCCGCTGGGGCGCTCAGGTGAGTCCGTGGTGTGGTCTGGACTGCCACCAACAAAACCAGGTCTAGTCGTTTTGGGGAAACAGGGCCCACTAATAATGTGGCTACTCACAGCTCCTGCAAGGGACTTCATTTGTAACGAAAGCACAAGAGTGGCAGACCAATCAATCTCAACGGGTTCAGTCGGAGAGAGGGAGGTCATAACACATTTTAGTTAGATAAAAGTTCTTCACTATCTCCTTCTCCAGCAGCCTAAATTATGAAACAGCGCCATCAGCCCGTTCACACTGTGCTGTGGCGGCAATTGGTATTGCAGCTCATTTCGTCCTGCCGACAGAGGCGACATTAAGAAATAAAAGGAACAGAAAAAAACGATGGCTCGTGTTTGAAGCACACAAAACAACTAAAGAGAGAGAGAGAGGCCAGAGAACACAAGTAGTCACTCTCACTGAGACGAGGTCCACTCGGAGTCCTTAAATACAGCTGGACTAGTTTGTAGTATTGGTAGGTTTTAGTACAGCTGCCACCCTGGAGCTACTGAGTGAACAAAATAATGTAAATGATGCTGTCTGCGGTCTGCAGGGCCTATATTATATGCATATGAATACTTTCAAATATTTTGTCATGTCACTTGGCACAATGCTACAATAATACGTCTGGCTGTAAGAAGAAAGTTAGTTTTTTGTGATTTGATGACTCGTATTATTACTTGCTTATGGCATGTTGGATACAATTATACACTTAATTATGTGTGAGTCTGATCACATTTACATGATACATTTGTTTCACGCTCAAATAACCAACACTAAACTAACCCCAGAAAAGCAAACAGATGTCAGTCGTCATCAGTGGTGAAGATATTTGACAGCAGTCAGTCGTCATCTCTTCACAGTCGACACTTATTTAGTATCAGAGTACGACCTTGACCCACATTCTGACTGTCGCCCTCCAGTAAACCTTAACTTGGGGGTTCATGTACTGGATATCAGAATGAGACAGTCGCTCACAGCACACCCACCAGACTCGCCCCTCTCTCTCACACAAACAGCATCTCCGGCAGTGAATCTCCTCCCGACTGAACGATGAGTGTGCGTCTCTCTCCCCGACAGGAATCTGAGTGCATGTGGCGGTCAGGAGGTGTGCGAGGACATGGTGAAGCACGACGTCATGACTCCTCTGACAGCGCTGCTTAGAGAGGTGAGACTCGGCCGCTGCTTTTAGCTCACCCCATCACTTCAGTTCCTCCTCATCAGCAGCTGTTACGGCATGCGACCATATCCTCAGCATTTAGCTTTTAATTCCAGAGCACAGACGTTCACCGTTAGTGACAATCTCTGCACCCACACTCGGAACACATTGCCTTCTGGCATCAGATTCAAGCTCACTGTTGAACTATGTGTGACGTCAATAGATTCCTTGAAACAAACTGAATTCATTTAAAATGTGATCACCCACTTTTTCAGCTATATTTTCATTATGTAGAGTCGACACATTTTCGGATGGATGACGGGCAAAGTTCGTACCTGTTTCACTCATGGCTGTGTTGTTTTCCTTTCAGAGCTGTGCTGCTTTTGAGAGCGCCACTGTGGCGACGAAAGTCCAGAAGAACGCAGTGGAGGATGTAGCCAACGAGGCTGTGAACCTATTGTGGAATCTGTGGTAAGCCCAGAGGTTGCGTCGTCATTTTATACCCCCCCCCCAGTTCGATCGTCTTTGCTCGTCCAGAAAATGTTATTTATCTTACAGTTTGACACTGTAAGTGCCATTTTCTGTCATGCAAGGATGCTGCATGATGTCTTTCTGTGTGCATTTGTCACCGTCTCTGTCTGACTGCCATATTGTGTTGTCCTTTCAGTGAGAGCAGCAGTCAGTCGCTGTCTGTGTTCAACAAGGCGGGTCTTCTGGATTTGGTTGTCCAGTGTTTGGAGAGACACCCGCACAACGTGGAACTGGCCATATCTGCTGGTAGGGCTAGTTAATATGCTGTTAATTTGTAGTCATAATTGATTAATAAAGGTGTGTGTGTGTGTGCACATCTTGATCATGACGAACCTCAGTTTCTTTCCAAATATCAGAACAGGACATACACATTTCCATTACTGCAGGCACATGTCCTGTGAATGTACCTCCAAGCACCGCTAAAGGAATATATCTATGAAACACAAAATATGTCAACAAACAACGCTAAGCTATGTTATAAACGTGGCTGCTGAAGAACAGGTGCTCCACTTCTGAAGCGTCTCCGGTCAGCCGGATGCTGTGTACATTTGGCATAACCGGCTTCTGGCTCGAGCTTAAGATTTAACCGGCATAAGAGTGGTATCGACCTTTTCATTTAACTCAGTGAGTGTATTTCGCACCACAGGCAGATGAATTTATAAAAAGACGGATGCAATATTTTTTTAATCTTTTATAGTAAATTTCAGTCTAAACTCATGGCCACATGTTGCATGTGATATTATTGTGAATATTCATAGACGTTATGTGTGATGAGAATGTGTAAATGGAGCTTCTACTCCCAGCTCCGAAATGACTTGCAACGTGGGAACTGGTCATTAAAATTACACACATTACAAATATCCTATACTAGCTATTACAGTCCTTTCAAACAGGGCTTTCAGAAATCTTAATATTATTTTAGTAATGAAAGGCCAAAAACTTTTGGGGTTTCTCAGGTGTGTAAGTCTCTCCTCTTTGTGTTCGGGCAGCCCACTGTTTGCACACTGTGACTGAGGATAACCCAGAGCTGCTTTGTAGCTTGAACGCTGCTGTGCTCGGAGTCCTGGAGAGCGTCTTGCTGACATCTCAGCCAGACATGGCACACACTCTCCTCAGGACACTGGCTGCAGGTACAGTTTGTCTTTTTCATTTTTTTTTTTTTTTAAATGCATTGTTCAGAACTCTCACTTATTACCATGACACAAGTTAAAAGTGACATTAAAAAGACTTCTGTGGACAGAAGTTGCCCGTAATGTTTTTTAATAGCGCTTCCTAAGCTCTTGCCTCTGCCCGCTGTGTCGCTCAGGGACACTGTGGAACATGAAGGGCAGTTTGCCGGCTGCCCGTCAGGCCCGGACCCTCAACGCCGTGGTGGCCACCTTGTCCCAGTGCCTGGATCTGGACATGGGTACACTGATACCTGAGCTCAGACAAGCAGAAGAGGTTCGTCACAGAAATACACCACCTGCGGCACACTCGGAGGACCAGGCTGCAGGAGAGCTCGCTGTGGCGGAGATGGACGAGGAAGAGGAAGCACCGAAACGCAACAGGAAAGGAAAAGCTGTGAGGGTTGATAACGACTTCTCTGACCTTTTGCCTGTAAGTGGTGTCTATCATTAAGCACTCTATATGTTGCTGTTCCTCTTTACGCACACATCGGGCTGTGAGCCCCTCTGTTCATACAAGTTGAGCACAGTAAATCACATCCGTCAGAGAGATTATATGAACCCTGTGTCACTTTCAGTCCCAAGCTTCCTCTCACAGTAAAAGTTTTGGTCTTTATCTCAAAGAACAACATACATAAATTACTGATGAAGCCGATTCTAACCGGTTGCCAGCATAACTATAAGTGAGTGTAGAGATGTCTGCCTTCTCTCAATTATAATGGGACAATATGGCACATGGCTTGTGATGCTCAAAGCGCCAAAAATACATTTGAAAAACTAAACAGCAATATCAGGAAACTGCTCACAACAAGGTCTGGATTATTTGAAATTATCTGATTGTTACTTCTGGAAAGAGACATTGCTGTTGAGTTTTTCTTTAATGTATTTTTTGGCGCTTCGTGCACCACAAACCGAGTGCCATATAATCCCATTATATTCGAGAGAAGTCAGACATCTCTACTAGGCAACTCGCTCCAAAACAATCCAGATAGGATGAGAGGAAGAATGTGTTTTTGATTTTGGGGTAAACAGTTGCTTTTAGAGTCAAAGTTTAGGAGCATTCTGAAGACCATATATTTATAGAGTCCAGATCTTTTCAAGGACAAAATTAGGCCACTTTAGAAATCTGAATGAAATTCAGTGTCTCCCCAGTTAACTTGTAACAACTATAGAAATTGTGATGAATTATGTAATTGACATAATGTATTACCGAGGCTCTTGCAGATAAGAAGTTTACCCTCAGCTGTAACGTTGTCAACTTTAGGATGCGACGTGTATGGCAGTTCGTGTGTATGCCGACGAAGCGATCCAGCTTTGGATTTTGTAGGAGTTAATGCTAGGTGAAAAGCCGGCGTGTGAGTCATCCTGGAGTGCGAGCCAGACTGACTGAGCAGACAAACTGTCGGGTTCGGGGGGAGACGATTTGGGATACTCAGCGAGGTTCAGCTGGGGGGACCAGCTTCTGGCTTCCAGCACGCTGACAAACCCCGGACCTGACCTCGGCGAGACAGAGCTGTCCCTCTCATCACAGTCGTAACCAGAGCCCCGGGTTGACATTCATGGCGACGTTCCCAAAATCCCCTGTTATATCGTAGGTTACGCAACGAGGGTTACCTCGATCTAAGCTATTGTTTTTTTCTAGTTAAGCAGTGTAAGAAGACAATTATGGGAAGTAATTATCTGTCACAAGCAGCTAAACAAACCGAAGCTGAATAGATAAGTTGTGCTTTAGTGACGACCTCGAAGCAGGTTTCACTTGCAGTTCAAAAAGTACACACGTACTGGAGTACGTCCGTAGAAATACATCTCTTCATTGTGTCATGCGGCTGAACTCGGACGTCTGATAACAGCGCTAACAGTCATCGTTTTGGTAGGATGTTGACTCACATGGCTGCTTGTTTTTGTCCAGAGGGACCAGGAGGAGCTGAAGGAGGCAACGGCCTTGCTGACAGCCCAGCAGACGTCCTTAGAGATCATCGTCAACTTGTGCTGCTCTGACGGTGAGTGCTGTGGACATGGACAGCAGTGCTGACCCCAGGCACTCTTCATCAACATCATTTCATGTTGCACTGTGTGCGCACATCAGAAAGGCTAACAGGAAATACACAAAATGACTTCATTGAGTGCATAGAAATGCCTTTTGTCACCCTGCATTGGTGGCATTTGTGTGCTTTCCTGGATCAATTCTATGTATGTGTGCCTTTTTAAAGACCCTTCTGACGACGAGTGGGAGGAGGAGTCGAGCAGTGATGAAAGCGACATGGGTCCGGACAGCCTTTGTGATGGAGTGTCCAATCTTATGTCTCCACTGTGTTTGTCAGCTGAGGTGCACGAGGCCTTGATCAACCACAGCATCCCAGAAAAGGCAAATACCTGTCTGCTTCCTCATTAACGCCTCACATTGGCCAATCAATAGCTATGAGAATGGAGGAGTTCATCACAGTGTCAGTGTTTAGACAAGCTCTACCTATGCGATGAACCTCACCCATCTTCTACCTGAGGCTGAACAGGTTACCTACCTGTGCAGTTTAAGAGAGACCTTTTATGAAACCACACTAAATGGTTTATCCATGATTGTAGTAATATCTTTTTTTTTCTTGATTCAAGGTCCTTAAAAAGACCGAGTTCCCCAGAAAGGAAGCTATGGATATGTGCCAACAGATTCCCTCCTGGAGATGCCTGATAAAAAAGTAATCCTCTCACTTCTCATCCTTTCTTTAACATAACCGTCGGATCAAAATTTGTGTAACATATCTGTGTCTGTATATCTTCTGCATTTTCACTCTGGTGAAGTTTGTCGGGAGTGTTGCAACCAATCGGCTATCGGTTGCGACTGTTTAGCCTCTGGGGGCAACATCCAATATTTCCTGGGTTCCGATGTAGCCAGCAGAAATCCAGATAACACATATTTGGGCCAGAACTTTCTCTCCTGTGCGCCAGTCATTTTCATTACAGTCCGATGAGCAGCTTGAGACGTGAGAATGGAGTTTGAGTTGAGAGACGACAACTACAATCAGGTTGTTTCATGTTTCAATGCAGAAAAAAAAAACTGAATCGCCGTCAGACGATAGCCGATTGGTTCCAAGATTGCATTTCGGCCAATGGGTTCCGCCTCCTGCTCTCCACACGGTTTACATGCATTTAACCAAAACCTGCATATTCATTGATATGCAGATATCTGTTTATAGCAATAACATCTTTTCTTCTTTTCTTAAGGATACAGCGGGTGCAGTCCCGGGCGCTGACGTGCCTCCATAGCATCCTCTCCACCATGGACGCCGAGTCTCTGGGAGGAGCGGCAGCCCTGCAGGGAGCAGCACAGCACCTTTCCAAGCTGGTTTTTGGTGCAGCAGGTCTCATATTTATCACTTATAGTACAGCACATAAGACACATTTGAAACACATGCGGTCAGAAATACAAATTCCAATAACTTTTGATTCAAGATTTGGAGACAAAATTGTGAAAGGTGTGATCAGATGCTGCAGTATAGAGTTGCAACATTGAAGCATGTAATACATCTGTTCAGTAAGATCAATTTACTTTCTCATGTTTCAGAGATACCCAAAGACGAGGAGTTCCTGGAGGCCGTCATAAGCGCCATGCGGTCTCTTTTACAGATGATTGCCTCCAAAAATATCCCCCAGGTACAGAGTGCTCTGCAGTGTCAGTGGTTCTTTTAGTGGTTTTAAAAGGTTACTCCATCAATTTGGTATTGCACTTCAGCAAAGTTGACAAAATTAAAAAAATAAAGAATGAATGGACAACATCTATGCGGCAAATTTTAGTCCCTTGTATCATCTCCTAGAAAAAAACAGCTGGGTCCTACATTTCCCACAATGCAACTCTAAAGCATCCTCAGTTAGACTTATCATGCCCGGTCAATGTGCACACCTTTTGAACACCACACCTGTAGTTTGTGATGACACCCAGGTTGAGATGACCCTGATGACATCACCAGGGGTTCCTCTCTTTTTAGACTTTGGTAAGCCACACAGTATACGAGGCTTTTTACAGGCTTCAGAGTAGTACTCCCCATGGCAAGAAAACTGAGCTTGTGTAGAATGAGTGGAGGGCCCCTTTGACCTATGTCAATGTTTGTTGACAGCGTTGACTGAATATATACAGAGGCAAGCTAGACTTTGTTCCCACTGCCAGTTGGCACTAAACCCTGTTGACCATGTATGGTTGGTTTTGTTTTTGTTAGTGCATGACCCCCCAGCAGCTGATGAGTCTGAGCGAAGCTGCCACCCGCTGCGATGTTGTCAGTGTGAGAGTCAACGCCGTCGCCATTTTGGGCATCACTGGCAGCACATTAGCCAAAGAGAAGGGCACTGCTGAAACTCTTCAGGTACAATCTTTCTCTTTGTTTCTTCTCTTGGGAAAATGTGTTCCTCCTCTAAGAAACTCTGCTCCCACAGATGATTGGAAACGCCTTACTTCAAGTTGCCACAAAGGACGCCAACCTGGTTGTGAACGGAGAAGCCCTGGACGCCTTGTTTGACGTTTTTGCAGATGGAGACGAGGCAGAGACGGCTTCCAAAAACATCCAGTTACTACCAGCACTGAAGGCACTTCAGCCTGTATTCAAGGCCAAGGTACCAGAGACTAATTCCTTTTTACTGAACCACCGGTTCTTGTAGATTTTTCACAATTCCTAAAAGCGTTTTCAAGAGGATTAACCCATCCCACTCCCACTGCCAAACTGTTTAGTTTCTCAGTCTTGTATCGCCTACAATGGCTTTATGGATTTTAATAAACCATAATACTTCAGTGCATGTGTCCCCCTGTTTTATGAAAATGTTTGAGATTTTTAAAAACATTTTAAAATAATGTTTTGATCCTGCAAATGTCCCCCGCGTTGGGACTAATAAAGGACTATCTTGTCTTATCTGATCTGACAATCATTTATTTTCTTCTAGATTCGTAAAGAAGGAAGAGGCAAGTACAGCCCCCAGCAGCTGTGCGTGCTAGACAACATCAAAGTCAACCTGAGAAGATTCATTGGTTATCTGGAGAAGGTGGTGAAAAAATAATGATTAGGATTGTGCAATCGGTTGAACCTGTTTGGACAGATATGCCAACAGGAGCATAGAACGAAACAGAATGTGGTTGTGAAACCATTGAGTATTTATTTTATGTTGATAGTATGCCATTTGTTTTTGCTCGGTTTCAATGTTTATATTCTCTAAATAATGATTTGCTATTATACTTGTTGATGTGAAATTTTATTTTGTTGTTGAGAAAGATGTGTAGAAAATCAGAGATGAGTTAGTAGTTACTGCAAGTTGCAGTCATGTCTTTTTTATTTTTGCTCACTTAGTTGATATGAATCATTTCAACCAAAATGGTTGTCAGACTTGAATTTGCATGAGTTCATGGACCTTGGTAACATTTTTAATCAGGTGTGGAGAGCTGACACCAGGTTTTGATATATATGCCCATGATTTTGTCGCATGGTTGAATTGGCCAAACATTGATGTTTGCAGTTCTACTTCAAGAGCTGGAAGGCCGAGCTATTCTACATCACAGGCCCCGTAAATGGAAGGATCGTAGTATCAGCGACGTAATAATTAAAAAAAAAAGATTTTGAAGTTATTAATATTGGCTTGCTTAAAGAGAAACAATATAATTGACTGTAATTTCAGTAACATACTAAGCTGAAAGGATTCGACATGTTCACTGCCAAGGTTGTGATGCCATTAAAATCTATTAGGACAGACATTAGCCTTCAGAAATATGCACATACTCTCTACCTCTGCCACTCTGAGGTCCCTCCACTTCCCATCTCTTGGCATTAAGTGCACACTCTGCCAGGCAGCAATCTTCTGCATGGAGTGGTGACTTTTGTGGTGGTATTTTTGTGACTTCCTCTGTCTGCAAGTTACTAAGACAGTCTTTCTACTTTCTACTGAAAGTATTGTTGTCGTAAAATATATATGTAAATCCAGAATAGTGCCATCTATATTGCACTGGATCCATAGTTTCTTTCTTTGAGTAGCTGACAAAAACTCATTAATGCCGTAAATATTGAATGGTGACTTGCACCCACAAATGCCGTTTAATCAAAAATGAAAACATCAAAATGAACTCTGTGATAGTTTTTACGTTTTAAGAGCCAGGCACAGCTTCTCTGGGTTCCCACAACCTTTCAGGGAAATGTTGGTAAAATTGCATGTAATTGACAACAAGATCAATCTGAGGGAGGTTATGTCATCAGGCTGTGAATAAAGGCCTTTTTTTAAATAAATACTGGTTTCTTCAGCATTTCCTTGAGTGTTTGTAACATGGGTGTATTTGGAATTAGTGCTGAGGTGATAAGATGATTGATCAATGAGTAGATTTACAGGAAAATTATAAAAACAAATGCTCACACAACTTCCTGGTTCCAGCCAAGTAGCCTATAATATACATTTTATATGTTACAACTTTTAAAATGTAAGGATATGCTGCTTGTATTTTACATCGCTCTGTATGAAATAGCTTTCGGTTTTAGACTGGTGGACAGAACAAACAACTTGTCCCCTTGAGAAATTATGAGATATTAATAATTGACCGATTTATTGATATTGACTAATTGTTATGGCCCTATTATAATGTTTTATTGCCACTTGTTACCTGCATGCGTTTTAACCTTGTACAACATGTGCTGTATATTTACATCGTGGGAGTTTTGTCTCAATGTTGAATACAGTGGTATTTATCTTTACCTCGGGTTATTATTACAGTCAAAATCGGCTTAAAGTAGTATTATGAAGAAAAAAGTAAAACGTGTTTACGTTGTAGTACTTTCAACACCGTGTCAATTTCTTTTTGATGAGAGAATAGTAAATCAAATATTATGTAATAAGAAGCAGTTGTCTGTTGCGTAACTACTGTCTCCCCGCCCCCTTTTCACTCGCACCGCGCATGCGCCGTAGCACCGTAGACTTCGCCATTGACGGACCCACGATCAGGGGAAAGGGTCAGAGAGGCACTTCGACAAGCAGCAGCTGCACGTTTATCCAGTCTTCCCAACACCCAACTTTGGCTTGAGCTACACTTTTTAACACCTGGCTCACAGTCTTGTTTTACTTCGTGTGGATAATTTCGACTGTGTATCGTCATCACCAAGGGACGGATTTCTTTTTAAAACCACATTCTAGAAGTAACGAAGCAGCGGGGAAGCTAGCGGCAGCTATAACGAGGCTAGCAGGCTAGCGTTAGCTAACGTTAGCTAGCGACCTGGCTAGCTGCACACGAGCTGAGCACTGCTCGGTGGGGTGGGGGTGGTGGTGGGGGAGCGGCGGTTTGCCTACAGTTCCGTTTGATGGATCCAAGAATCGCATGGTTTCAACCAGAACAACGTGGACCTGCTAACAAGCTGTGGATGCAGATTTGGGATACGACTCAGGGGCTCGGCTACTTGCATGTAAATAACTGCTACACCGCCGGACCTCAGGGCAGTCTGAAAGCGATCGTCAACGGGGCGTCGGGAGCTGGGAGCAGAAACGGGGCACTTGACTCCAACACCGGCAGCGGGGACGCCAGGATCAGTATGTCGTCCTCGATAGGGGACAGAGAAATGAAGGCACAGCGGGACTTTATACCACTGGAAAGCAACAGCAACCACAACAACCGAGCCGGTGGCAGGGGCGGTGTCCGTGGAGAGGGGCAGCAGCAGGGCAGCGGGGTCGCGGTGCTTTCGAGGTGGCTGACGGACGGACACCCCAACAAAAGGAAAAGAGACAACAAGGCTAGCACTTTCGGTTTCAATTCTAGCCTCTTGAACAGTGGCAGCAGCAGCTCCAACACAGGAGGCTACGATGGTTACGCGGGCACGCCGTGGAAAGTCAGGAACTACTCGGAAGGAATTGTCGGGTAAGAGAGTTTAACTCGTAAACTAGGAGTTGATGAACTGGTATTTTCTCTTATTTCAAACGCACAGAAATGACTTGCAGGGAGACGACTGAGGTTGTCAGTCTCACCCCACCCACATTTCATCCCCACCCAAAGTTGGATGACTTGCTGGCGAGTAAATGATTTGTGAAAGTGAGTCTGTCCACCAATGAGCGCTCACATCTCAAGGCATTAACTTATGCCAATTTACACAACAAGGTAAAGCTGCAGATCATTTAAAGTCAATAAGCAAACCTAAAAAATACACAGGCGGTTTAACCTTTTAGTTTTTCTTAATACTTTTCTTAAGTTTGAACAAAACGTCTTATGGAGGAATAAACACAGGTGATGTCTTCGGGTATTACTGTAGACACATAACAAGGCAGCACTGAACAGTTCTTATCCTGGCCTGCAAACATTATGGTGTTCATTAGGGGGGTTGCAAACCAGCTGTTGTATGAAAGAACGTGCACATTATGCTTATGCATCCCACTACTCTTAGGTCAAAAGAGAGCATTAAGGAGGTAACGGGGCACTTCCCCAAACAAGAGTGACACTTTTAATGGATTGAGCCATCTCACTGGTTCTCCTCCAGCCTCCTTGCCTCCACAGAAATTCAGCTGGCTGTACTTCAGAGGAAGTGGGAGCTGATGAGTCTGCCAAAGCTTGACAAACTGCTTATTGTGAGCAGCAACAGTCAGTATGTTCACTCTGACCTAAAGGCATTATTTTGTAACACTGAAGCTTAGAGTACAGTCATGACACTGGTGGTTAATAGCAGGTGTAGGAATATTGAAGATGGCAAGTGAATCCTGACACAGTTGGCTTACGTGATGTTAGTCTTTGGCCTGCTTGGCTCGTTGGTCTGTGGTACCCTCGACCCACTCTCCTCCGCCTCATCTCAAAACACACTGGTAGGCCCAATGCCCCCCCGCCCCCCCCCCCCCCCCCCCCGCCCCACGCCACGAAGCCGCAGGCTGGAGTGGAGAA